GATTCTAAAACCAAAAAAAAAAAAGAAAACAAAAAACCAAACCCGTTGCCGTGGAGTCGATTCCGACTCACAGCAACCCTACAGGACAGAGTAGGACTGCCTCCTAGAGTTTCCAAGGAGCAGCTGGTGGATTTGAACTGCTGACCTTTTGTTTAGCAGCTGAGCTCTTAACCACTGTACCACCAGGGCTCCAGGATTCCAAAAAGTAGTAATATATTATCTATCTATCTATATGTATATATATATACATGCAGAAGTGATAAACAAGATATCCACGATAGTGGTAATGTGTATGTTGGGGGGAGGATGATATCAGTAAAGGATACATAGGAGGCTTCTAAAGTGCTGGGTATATTAATTTCTTAATCTGGGAGGTAAACTGGTGTTCATCTTTAAACTATACTTGTTTCACATATTTTTTTGTATCTATATTTCAAATTTTAAAATTAAGAAAACGTAATTTTAAGAAAATGAGTATTAAGTAGCTCACAGAATCCTCAGGGGGACTGGAGAACCAGCCTCTGATTTACCAAGGAGCAAGTCTGCACACTACAACATAGAATGGGTTGCGTTTGGGTGAGGTAACTGCTGCTGTCACTGATGAGCACCATACTGCAGTTTGTAGCAACGCCTACAAGGAGCTTGATTTTCCTACAAACTCTATTGCAGGCTGAGGAAGAAACCTCTGCAGGTCCTGATTTTTTATGTCTTTACTCCTGAGTCCAAACCCAGCACAGATTCATCTCATCCAGAGTCCAGGCCACTTGCCTATGACTTATGAGCAAGTGAGGCTGGAATAGTGAGTACCTGACACTCAGGTTCTTTTTACCGAGCATCTACCATGAGCTATGTAAGTTCCCTGGGGGGCGCAAGCAGTTTGTGCTCAACTACTAACCAAAAGGTTGGTGGTTTGAATCTACCCAGGAGCACCATGGAAGAAAGGCCTGGCAATCTACCTCTGTAAGATTACAGGCATTGAAACCCTACAGATCACAGTTCTACTCTGAAACACGTGGAGTTGCCATGCGTCAGAACCAAATCAGTGGTTTTTGTTGTTGTTGTTTACTATGAGCTATATCTAGTTCCAGACACGGATGATATAACAGGCAACAAAAAAAGAACGAAATCTCTATTTTACAGAACTTATATTCTATGTGGGTGAGTAGGAAGGGGACAGTCAAGACAATTAAAGTAAATACCCCCACCAAGACTCACTCAGTGGGGAAACCACAAAAAGAGGAATGTGGTTCAGATTCTCGGCATTTAAAAAGAATAAATGTCTTCCACATGATACAGTTGGTCTACGTGACCATCTATGAATATATAAAGTAAAACTATTATGCTAAGGAAAGTCCCTGGGTGGCACAAACGGTTTGTACTTGATTACTAACCTAAAGGTTGCAGTTCAAACCCACCTTGTGGTGCCACAAAAGAAAGACCTAGTGATCTGCTTTTGTAAAGACTGTTACTGTTGTTAGGTGCCATCGAGTTGATTTCCACTCATAGTAACCCCATGTGAGAGTAGAAATGCCCATAGGGTTTTTTTTTTTTTCCTAGGCTGTAATCTTTACAGGAGCAGAGCACCAGATCTTTCTCCCAAAGGGCTGCTGGGTGGGTTTGAACCACTAACCTTTTGGTTGGCAGCCAAGCACTTAACCATTGCTCCACCAGCCAAGAAAATCCTATGGAGTAGCTCTACTCTGTAACACATGCGGTGGCCACGAGTCTGAACTGATTTCAAAGCAACAGGTTTGGGTTTTTTTGGTTTATTCTGCTAAGGAGAAAAACACAGAGGCTTTAGATACATATTGCTACATTTTCCCTCAAAAGGGTTATACCAATTTATATATTACCAGCGTATGAGTAATTTATTTCCGCAAGCTCTTGCCAAAAATTCCTTGTAATCTGTGCAAATTTGAGAAAAATGTTGTTGTTTTAAACTGGGTTTACATGATTCATATTATATTTGTAATTCTAATTTTGTAAATTGTGGATATCCACTTTTTTCCAGTGGGAATACAGGTAGTCCTCAATTTATGACATATTCGAGTTACAACAAACTGTACTTACGACTGGTCTTTTTTTTTTGGGACATCTTATTAGTAATATGTACTACATACCATGTCATAGCACATAATTTGTTGACGTTATTGTTCTCAGATGTTCAATGTTATGATTTATAAAGATACCAATAATAAAAAGCAATAATAATGAAAACTTTAAAAAAATGAAGTGTTCTACTTACATCAGAATCAACCTACAAAGGAGTCATCAAAACGGAAGCCCATCGTTAAGTCGGGGACTACCTGTATTTTTATTTTTTATAGAACTTTGTCTATCATGTATGTTGCAAATATTTTTCCTAGTTTGTCCTCTGCCTTTTCATTTTTACTGTTTAAAAAAATCAGTTTTAATTTTTTTTTTTAGTGTTTGATCTGCCAATCTTTTCCTTTATAGTTTTCAACTCAGTTTTTCTTTCCCCAAGATTTTACAATAGTTGCTTAATTTTTCTACATTTAACACTTCAATTCTAAGGCTCTAGTATCATTTCCCTTCAACTATGCTTGGCTCTATGTCTGTAATTTTTCTTCAATTCCACTGTGTTATCTCTACTTGCATAAGGACCACTAATTAAATTATTATAATATTGTGGTATGTTTTATTATCTGGCACTGTAAGTTTGTTTCCCAACCTCATTCTTTTCAGTCATTTTCTAAATTGATCCTCCTTCTCTTTAAGTCCATATCCATAACAAACACATGTACTTAAGCATACTTATGCAGATATTTTCTGTAAGAAGACATGGCATGAAATCTACATTTAGGATCATCTGATCATTATTCTTAACTACTAGAATACTTCCAGATTCCAGGGCCTTTTAGGTATCTCTGTTCAGAAGGATCTGAATAAGACAATGGTAGGATTCTACTTTTTCCTCATAATATACCATGTCTTCTTTTTTGCTTCCTACTCTCCCCTTCCTTCCACTTATGCTTCAGGCACTGTTTAACTGCTGATGATTCCTAGAATTTGAAAGGTAGTAAACTCAGGATCTGGAGTCCATGACTGGTGCAAATAATTAATGCACTTGGATGCTAACTGAAAGGGTGGTGGTTTGAGTTCAACCAGAGGTACCTCAGAAGAAAGGCCTGACAATCTACTTCCAAAACACCAGCCATTGACAACCCTATGGAGCACAGTCCTATTCTGACACACATGGGGTTGCCATAAATTGGAATCGACTTCACCGCAACTGGCTAGACTCAGGATCTAAACCTATGTTGAGCCTTCCTGAGTGGTTCTTACAGCACCATCACTCATTGGATCAACAGGCAGTAGGGAAACAAGTATTTCTATTCAATGACTGCCACCTGAAGAACTGGAATCTTATCAACTACACAATTTTCAAGATTAAAACGAGATATAAAAAATTCATTCCATTTATGGGCGCCCCAAAAATTATACTATGTCACCTTATATGAAATATTACAGATTACTATTTTAAACTAAAATTTTTTTCTTCACTTAACTTTTACAATATCAGGAATCAATATAGCAGATGAAGTTTGACACCTTTATATCTTTAAGTTGCAGAGCTCAAAAACAATCAAAATATTTCTTCCACATACAACCATCATTATGTCTAGCTTTCTTTTTCGTCAAGAGCAAATAAATGATGGAAATATCAAACATGAAGAAAGTGTAATCGCCTAATATATATTAGCTTATCGTAGAAAGAAAGAAGCATATGGAAATCCTATATACCTAGATTGTAGTCTGCTGCCCTTGAAGTCAAATGGCCATTAAAGTTATTTACTCTCATTGACTCAGTGTCCTTATTTATAAAACTGGGTAATACCTACTTTACAGAGTTATTGTAAAGATCATATATGATTAGGAATATGAGAGCTCCTAGCACATAGGAGGTACAGTAGGCACTCAAAGGTTAGTTCTAATTTTCCCATCCCTGGTGGCGCAGTGGTTAAGAGCTACACTATGAACCAAAAGGTCAGCAGTTCCAATCCACCAATCTCCTTGGAAACCCTATGTGGCACTTCTACTCTGTCCTGTAGGGTCTCTGAGCCGGACTCCACGGCAACGGGTTTGCTTTTTTCTTTTTTTTAATACTGCACCAAATTAAAAAGAAGCAAACAAACCACCACCAATTAAAAACCCAACTTGGATCTGAGAATTATTTAACACAGGCAGTATGTACTTTATTTCAGTGAGTGATTCAGTTATGTTACAGATCTGTTTTATAATGGTACTGAAGAAGCCAAAAAAACCTAGCTTCTACTTCAGCAGAACTTCCAGATGACTTCTTTTCTTCATCTATTAACTAAGGGCGTTGGTATATATTCCTGAACTACTTTCCAACTTTAGAATCTCATGATTATAAAAACAAAACACACACATCAAACCTCCACTGTAATAAGAATTCTTAGCATAATACTCTTTAGCATATAGTTGCTACTATGTGTCTATATGCTTGTTTTGTGACTGAAGAAAAGAATCGTAATTATCCATTCATAAAGATATGCCACTAAAAATTGCTTAGAAATATTTAAATGCTTTAGTGATTTCGATCTTTTTATTTCAAACAATGCTGTGGAAATAATATAATAAAGCACAACATGCTTTGTGTGCTTAAGTTTGAGCCAATATTTAAAAGATAATCGCGCAATAACTGACTTTATATTGGGCAAAGCGGGGGTTATGCGACAACTCTGGCGGGGGAGGGGAGGGCACGAGCCTGGGAACCTGGGTTTGAAGGTTTACCAGTGGAATCAACTGCGGGACCGCGTCAAGCCCTACTACGACTGGGAGACAGGCCGACAGCGGAGGGGCGGGACCCAAGAGGAGACTGGCGCGCTCGGCCATGCCCTGGACCTGCCACCGCCTCCGGGCTGGTGTGCACGGGCGCTAGGTGTCCGCTCGGGCCGGGGGTCCGCACGGGCTCCGCGCGCGCGCGTCCGGCCCGCTGCGCCTCTTCCCCTTACCACATAGCCCCCCCACACGTAGAGGAAGTTTCCGTCCACCACGGCGCAGTGGCCGCTGCGCTCCTCGGCCACGCAGAACAGCTGCGAGTCCGCCATCCGCGCCGTCGCTGAGCCCACCGGCTCGCTCAGCGCGACCCCTTCCCACCGAGCGGCCTCGCCTCTGGTCCCGACTCTACGCACGAACGGAACGCGTCGAGGGTCTAGATTGTTGGGAAGGCGGAAACGGTGCATCTGCGCCACCTAGCGGTCTGCTCCTGAACTTGAGCCGAGGGCGGCGATGCCGGTTGGGAGGTGCTTTGGTTCTTAGTACTGAGGAAGGTGCCTTGGCTTTTCCGTAACCGTGCTGCTCCGTGTTTCTTCTCACTTGGGATTGTGTTGTTTTGAGTAGTACAACCTAACTCTGTATCTTATTCATGGAATAAATGGACTTCGAGTCCATGGGGTTGGTGCTGCTGCGACATAAATTAATGCTTAGTGGTGATTTGCCGTTTTCATTTAACCCTGGCAGAGATAGTTATCCATAAGTATAGAGAGAGAGAGAATGCGTGTGTGTGTGCGTGTGCGTGTGTGTGTGTGTGTGTGTGTAATTAGGAATTACTAAAACCGAGGCTGGGAAACTACTGCCTGCAGGCCAAATCTGGCCCAATGCCTGTTTTTGTAGGCCCCACAAGAAAAGAACAGTTTTTACATTTTTAAATTCTTGAAAAAAGCAAAGGGAAAATGACATTTTGTTACCTGTGAAAATTATGTGAATCAAAATTCAGTATTTATAAATAAAGTTTTATTGGAACTTAGCCACGGTGATTCATTTAAGTATTGTCTATGGAAGTATTTTAAGAGCTTGACTGCTGAAGAGAAGATCGGCAGTTCAAATCCACCGGCGGCTGCTTAGAAACCTTATGTGAGTCAGAATTAACTCGACAGCAGCTGGTTTGGTTTTGGTTTTATGGCTGCATTTACACTACAACAAAGTTGAGTAGGTAGAGTTGAGTAGTTGCAACAGAGGTCATAAAGCCCGCTATGATAGTTAAAGTTATATGTCAACTTGGCTAGGCCATGATTCTCAGTATTAGGTAATTATCCTCCATTTTGTGATCTGATTTAATTATTCTCCATTTTGTGATATAATGTAATCATGTACATCATGTGATCTGATGTGATCAGCCAATCAGTTTAAGAGGACTTTCTAAGGGGAAGGTAGGGATGTGGCCTGCACGCTATATATATATATATGTGTGTGTATATATATATATATATATATGGTTTTTTCTGGCAAAGCTTGCTTGTTTGCTCTGGATCTTGTTTCCAGCTCATCATCATCTGACTTCCAGCTCTTGGGACTTGAGCCAGCAGCCTGTCATCTGATCTGCCAACTTTAGGATTTATCGGCTTCCACAGCCTTGTGAGCCAGCAGCCTGCTGATTGACCTGCCAGTTCTGGGTTCATCAGCCCCTGCAGCCACGTGAGTCAGGAGAAGGTTCCAGCTGACACTTGACCCATGGTCTTTGGGATTTGCCAGCATCAACAACAGTGTGAGCCATTTCCTTGAGATAAATCTCTTTCTCTTTCTCTCTATATATACACTTCACTATTTTTGCTTCTCTAGAGAACCCAGCCTAAGACACCCACAATGCTGTAAATATTTACTATCTGGCCCTCTTCAGAAAAATTTTACCTACCATTGTTCTAAAACGATGTTACTGAAGTAAAAACTGTGTCCAGGAGGGAAGATAACTTTCTTGGAGATTGTGGCTGCCCACTACTCAGAACAAGTTAATTCATTAATTTATTCACCATGCATTTATTGAGTACCCATTTTCTGTATATAGTTGGTATTGAGGCTATTACCAAGTATTGTACCTTAAAGAAAAAAAACAACACTGCCATCAAATCAATTCTGATGCATAATGACCCTATAGGACAGAGTAGAACTGCCCTATAGGGTTTACAATGCTGTAAATCTTTACAGAAGCAGACTGCCACATCTTTCTCCTGCCTAGCAGCTGGTTGGTTTGAACCACCGACCTTCTGGTTAGTAGCTAAGTGCTTTTGCCACTGTGCCACCAGGGCTTCTCACCTAGATGACTGTAATGGTTAAGATTATGTGTCAACCTGGCTGGGCCATGATTCTCAGTGGTTTGGCACTTATGATATAGTTTGGTAGCTGTGTAATAATGTCATCACCTCCATGATAAGATCTGTTATGAGCAGCCAGTCAGTTGAAAGGGAGTTTCCTTGGGGATGTTGCCTGCATCCAATATAGGCAGACTTTCTGGCAAAGCTTGTTGGTTCTTGTCTGCTCTGGATCCTGCAGCTGGCTCCTCTTCATCTGACCTCCAGTTCTGGGAACTGGAGCTAGCAGCTTCCCTGCCAGTCTTGGGATTTGTTGGTGTAGCTGACCTGCCGATGTTGGGTTCACCAGCCCCTGCAGCTCCATGATTCAGGAGAAGCCTCCAGCCTGACCTATGGACTTGGGACTTTGCAGTCTCTACAACCTCATGAGCCATTTCCTTGATATAAATCTCTCTCTCTATATATATATTTTTTGCTTCACTGGTTTTGCTTTTCTAGAGAACCTAGCCTAAGACAATGACTCAATAAACAAAGTGAATTTTAAGATGAGTGAGACATAATTCTACCACAAGGGGCTTAAAGTCCAGTCAGAGAGAAATATATGTCAATGAATTAAGTGCAGTGTGGAGTGTGAAGTGGTACAGTAGAAGCACTGGCAAAATCCAGCAAAAAAACAGAAAGGAAAGATGTGATCTATGGGGAAGGGAAGCACAAGGAGAGACAGGAGTTTTTCTTATAAATTGACTATAGAATGCTATCTGTAGGTGATGCTTTGGGATAATGCAAATATCCTATTCCCTAAAACACTTTCACCTAATGTTTCTCACATTTTATATCTTTACTTCTAACCCCAGCCCCCACTTTCCCACCCATAGGTAACCATTTGTATTAGTTTCTTGTTTATCCTCCTAGTGGTTAAGCAAATATGTGTATATAGTTCTTATTTTCCCTTCTTTCTTACATAAAAGTTCAAAATTTTTTGCAATTTTTTTGTCCTTAAAATATATCTCACTAAAAATATGCAGAGAATTGTGTTCAAAAATCACTTGAATTAAGGAAAAAAAATCAACTACA